CGCTGCCGAGCCTGCAGCTCCCACTTCTTCTGGTGGAAGCGCAGCCACACCAGACGCTCCTCCTGAGTGGGGTGACCGCAAGAAAGAAATCAGCAAAAGCGTCCCAGCCCCACAACATCACACCATAGAGCCTAGCCCTGCAGCCTCCAGTCTCACATCATGTTCTGCCCCAACTGTGAAGCCACCACCCCCTTTTCTCTATCAGTGATTGCTTTTCTGTATCCTGGTAGTATGTCTCTTTGTATCCCAGAACCATGTGTGTTCAGAGTGTGGGTTCTCAGAGTGCAGCTGTGAAACCCACAGCTTGCTCCTGGAAGCACCCAAGCTTGGATGGATGAATACAATCCTGGGGCATCCCCTGCAAAATCTGCTTCACCTACCTTGGTGGTGCCAAGGGATGGAGGTGGGCCCAGGATCTCTCGCCAGGACTGGGACAGCTCCAGTTCCTGGGACATCTCTTGGCTTTCCTCTGCTGCAGGGATGCGCTTCCGCTTATTTGCAATGGGAACCAGTGGCAGAGGGATCTTGACAGCCCCAAAGTCCTCTATATCACTGACCTGTGAGCTGGGTGTCCCCTCCACAGGCGGGTTGGCAAGAATCTGAGAGAGCAAGGAGAGCAGGAGGATAGAGGCTGCAAGAGAAAAGCCCCACTGGCACTGCCAGCACCTTTCCCTCCCCCTCTTTACCTGTTTCTTGCCTTTTGAAACAAAAAGCTCATTGATTTTTTTCTGTTTGTACACATCATTCTTCTCCAGGAGCTTCTTGTGAAGCCAGTCTGGGTGTCGGACCCGTGGCACTGGGTTTTTTACCTGCAGAATAGCTCCAAATCACACTGAGTCCCCTGCAGAAATCCTTCCTCCTGTCCACCCCCTCACTGCCCTGTACCTGCTGCAGGGCTGCAGGAATGGTGATGATTTTCTGGATGGTGCTGCCCAGCCTCTCGATGTAGTAGTCCCAGTCCAGGATCTGGAAAGAGGGCAGAGCTTGGGCAGAAAAGAAAGCCAAGCAGAAGGGCCCCCAGACACAGGATCAAACATCCCAGTAGCACCCTCACCCCAGCCCCCTGCTTTGTGAGCACAGGAGGCCACCACCCAGGTTGTGTCTCCAACAGGACGAGCCCATGTCCCAGATGTGGTGTCACCTGCAGGGATGCCTCACTCACCGCGCGAATGTTGAAGTCCTGCAGCGAGGGGCTCTTCAGCCATTTCCGGAGGTAGTGCTTGCGCACACTGGGCTCAGCTTGGAAGATGGCAAGGGGGATGGCCCTGGAGAAGGCAGGCAATCAATGTCCCAGCACCCCACAATCTACTCTCCCAGCCTGTGGAGATCCTCCAGGCTTCTCCTAAAATCCTGCGAGGCCACTGGGCTGTCCAGTCTTATCCCCTGCCCTGCTCACAGCCTGTGCCAGATTCAGGCGATCACCTGGCCATGTATTCCACCTCCCTCCCTTCTTGCTGCCTGTGCATCCCCTCTTGGTTTCTCACACACTGCCAGAAGTCCTGGCCCCTCCAGGTGGGGTTACCTCTCGGTGACAGGAGACCCTTCTGGTTTCTTGGAAATGATGAAACGGCAGCTCAGCCCTGCATCCTTCACCATCTGGTCCCCCAAAAACTCTGCCAGGCGCTTGGCAGTGCTGATGGAGGTGGACTTCTGCTCCCCGTAGTCCTCCAGTTTGCGTGACATGGAGCGGTTCTCTGAGATGAGCTCAAACAGCTCTGAATCAGGCATGTTGGCAGCCTGAAGGCCAGGGAAAAGCCCAAAGTTAGCAAGAACTAATGATCAAACTTTGCTGCTGTTAGAAAGAGGGAACACCACACACAGCTGGTGTGTCTCTTTACTGGGAGCCTGGGAATTGCTTCCCGGTGCAGCTACTAGTGGGATCTATAAAAAAGAGGGTGTGTGGGTTTCAGGTTGGCAACAATTGCATCAGCCCAGCTGCAGCAGTACAGCTTTGTGTTGTGCATACCAAGTTACGCTCACCAAGAATTTGTTGTAAAACAGCATCACAAAATGAAGGACTGTAGAGGATTAGAACTAAACATGTTTTGTCTCAAACATTCTGAGTTTTGCTACAGGAAAGGTGCGATTGGAAGAGAGTGTCCCACAGACGTGCGGCAGTGCTGTTCTGAGCCAATTCCCTGCTACGCCTTAAGACTCAGGCTTAGTCCCCTCTCCAACACACATCCGGAAGAAGGGCTTGCTGTGCATGAAAGGGAGCAAAGAGGTGCCCTCTCTTCTTTTTCTCCTCTCTTTCTCTTCCACTTTCTTTGTCTCATTGTTTGCCCCAGCTCTCGACTATCCATATGGCATGACCAAAGCAAGACCAACACAGATCTAAGGACTGGTGATATTGTTTTCTTCCCTTGCTTTGCCTGAGCAAAGAGCCATCATATTCTACTTCATACTTGGTATTGAACCCTGTTGTGGGAGTGGGGAGCTTTCGTAAAGGTGTGTTGTGGCTTGTTAGCCAGGACCTTTGAGTAGTGGTGTTGTGGCTCATGCACCAGCACCTTTGTGTGATGGTGTGTTGCAGCTTGTTAGCCAGTACCATTGAATACTGGGGGTCTACTGGGGCTTGTGAGCCAGTGCATTTTAAGGAGCTTGTGGTGGGAGTTGAGAGCTTTTTGAAGTGTTACATACAAAACTAAGGGCTTATTTGCTTCCACTCTTGTGGAAGTCTATTGTAAGAATTGGCTTGTTGACTAACACCTTTTGAGCTTATGCAGTGGGCTGGTTGCTGGAGTTACAGCAACTGTACAATAAGACATAAAGAGTTCCTGACACGTGAGTGGTGTGTTTATTCAACCTGATGAGAATTTATGATGAACATCATGCCCCCGGACCAGCAGGTCATGACAAGGACCTAGTTAGACTCATGTTCCCTCCCACCCTCTTATCTCACAGAATCATTTGGGTTGAAAAGCCCTCTAGTATCAACAAGTCAAATCATTCCCCCAGCAGTATACCAAAGCCACCACTAACCATGTACACAAGAGTCACATCCACACAGCTTATACATTCTTCCAGGAATAGGGATTCCACCCACTGCCATGGGCAGCCTGTGTCAGAGCTGCACAATCCTTTTGGAGATGAAATTTTCTCTATTATTCAACCTAAACCTCCCCTGCTGTAGTTTGAGGCTGTTTCCTCTAATCCTGTCATTTGTTCCCTCGTTGAGAGTGGTACATGGATTGTGGGCGTTGTACGTCCCACGTGGTTCCATCCTATTGTAGCTGTAGAGTAAGAATGTCCCCCCTGAATCTCCTCTTCTCCACGCTCAGCCCCCACAACTGCTCCTCATTAGATTTGCGCTCCAGCCACTTCCCCAGCTCTTTTCCCTTCTCTGGACATTCTCCAGCCCCTCAATGTCTTTCTTGTCATGAGGGGTTCAAGGTGCCTCACCAGTGTCCAGCAGAGAGGGATGATTACTGCCTTGGTCCTGTTTGCCATGCTATGGCTGGTACAGGCCAGGTGCCATTGCCCTTCTTGTCTACCTGGGCATGTGTTTAGTCACTGTTGATCAGCATGCCCAGATCTTTTCCTGTCAGGTGCCTTTCCAGACCCGATGCCCCCAGCATGGAGCATTCCACGGGGTTGTTGTGACCCCTGTGCAGGACCTGGCACTTGACCTTGTTGAACCTCACACTACTGGGTTTGGCACATGGATATACAGCCTGTCCAGTTCCCTCTGCAAGGGCTTCCTGCCTTCCAGTAGATCCACACTCCCACCCAGCTCAGTGTCATCTATGAAGCGACTGAGTGGTAAAGTGGCACAGGAGACCCCTGACTGTGCAAGCAAAGTCCACCCTCCCACAGTGCCTGAGCAGCTCAGATGCTCCTTCCCAGGCTCCACCTTGGAGTGCAGACTTGCTGAGCTGTGCCTACCTTGCTGTAGAGCACATCCAGCCAGTAATCGGCCACCTTGGCCACGGAAGCGTAGACCTCCTCCAGGGTGCTGCCTTTCAGAAAGGCTTCGAACACAGATGACTGGAATATCTTCACCAGCTGCAGTTCTCCCCGGCGTTTCACCTCAAACCCCTTCAGCTCAGCCAGGGACCCATCCTCATTGAACACGGCGTACCTGGGAGAGTGTGAATAAACCTGGCCTGCACCAAGGGACACATCCCTCAGGGTGCCACCGGTGTCCCTCCTGCCAGGCTGCTTCTCCCCATGCCTTTGTGCCACATCCAGCATGTTCAAAGGAGCCACAGCTGCACCTGGATAATCTCAAGTATCCACAGCTTCTCTAGTAACCCTGGTCTAGTAAAGAACCTCAGCTCTTGCCCCCAGATCATCCACACTGACTCATCGAACCAGAGGGGAAGTGATCTTTAAGATTATCCAATCCCATGCTGCTGCCATGGGCAGGACACCTTCCACTAGGCCAGGTGGTTCCAAGCCTTGTCCAGGCTGGCCTGGAACACTGTGGAGCTGCCAAAGCTTCTCAGGGCATCCTGTGCCAGTTGTCCAAAGTCCCCCTGCAGCCCTCTCGGAGCCCCTTTAGGCCCTGGGAGGGGCTCTGAGCTCTCCCTGCAGCCTTCCCCGTGTAAACACCCCAGCTCTCCCAGCCTGGCTCCAGAGCAGAGGGGCTCCAGCCCTTGGAGCATCTCCATGGCCTCCTCTGGACTCAATCTAGCAGCTCCATGATTTCTTGTGCTGAGCACACCAAACCTTGATGCAGCACTGAGGGTGAGGAGTGACCTTAAATCTTGTGTAAGTAAGGGAAGGAGATGAGAGCCCAAGAGGGGAAATGAAGATATTAGGAAGAGATTTAGAAAGCAGGAAATAGGCAACTCCAATGTTGGCAGAGAGGTTGAGAGAAAACTGGATGCAGCCATGACACACTTAAGGTAACATTCCTCCCTCTTGCCTTTTCTTTTCTTGCATTGTTTTGCCTTTTACAGCCCTGAAAATTATCTGTATGTCTCAAAAAAAACCCCAAACCACCACTGTGGGAATAACCAGTGAGAAGAGGGGATACTCAGACCTGCTTGGCCAGCCCTTCTCCCACCTACCCACATTCCCAACAGCACAACCTTTCCTTCCTCCACTGACCACAGTGCCTGTAGCCATCTCTAGGCTGTTGTGCTTGGAGAGTGACCAGGTAATAAATGCCCTTTCTTAGACCCCTAAACTATAGGAATCCAGAGCTCCTGAGGAGAGTTGTGCAAACACAGCCCACTCAGAGCTGAGCAACACTTTGACTCTTGCAAAAGGGTCTGAATGACTGGAGAGGGGCACTGGTAGGGAATGGTGTGTGCTGAACCTTGTCCTGTCAGGGATTAAGCACAAAAATGTTCAGAATTGTGAGGACAGAGAGTGCTGGGGACAGCAACAGCATGTTTTGGAGTCAGATCAAGGTCTGTGGGCTGCCACCCAAAATAATGGATGTTAGTGCTCCAGCTCACATTCTTGGTTAGGAGGTGGTCATTGAGAAATCAGTGAAGTTTGGGTACAACTATCCCATAATGTGACAGTAATGGCAGAACCAGTCCTACTTACAGATGGAGAGGGAAGGGGAAATACATAGGAGAAGTGTTACTGGAAGTCTGTTAACACTGAAAAATAGGAAGGCAGGAACTGCTAAGTTTAAACAGATTGGGTTGAATAGAAGCAGTATTAGAAATCCTCAGAAGCAAAGTCAATGTTCTCCTGCACACCTCAGAGCCAAACAGGCAGATGTCTGGTCACTAGGCAGGAGAAATGTAATTTTCCTGTTATCTGATAAAATTTACTGCCATAATAGCTGCATTCAATGATCTGACATAAGGAACTTGTCATTTAAAGCCAGTGACTCAAATGCTGCTGGCTCTGGAGGGAAGGACCAACATGCCCCACATGTACAAAGGCAACAAGATCCTTAGTCTTTCAACTCAGGGGAAGAGACAATATTTCAAGCTTTGAAATCTCACCTTTTCTTCAGCTTCTTGCCCTCCTCTTTGGAGGCTGGAAGGATCATGGCCAGGTATGGACCATCCACTTCAAAAAAGATGCTGTTCTCTGAGCGCGTGACGTAGGTGAGTGAGGCTGGATCCTGCAGCTCCTGGTACTGGTCATTTGTGAAGCCTTCCTGTGGCACAGCCCCAGGAGAACAGTTTCAATCTACAGCTGCCAGGTCACACCAGGGGATGCCCCTGGGACACACCCTGCCCAAAGGGACACCTGAGCACCCCTCTGGGAGCTGGAGCACAATTTAGGACTCAAAAGTCAAAGCACCTTTCCTGCCTGTTGAGACCCTAAAATGATATTTTCTTCTCTTACAGAGCCTGGAGTAAGCAGAGCATTGGTTTAGACCTTGTGCTGGACTCCCTACCAGCACAAGTAAGCATGCACCTCACCTGGACTCTTACAGACCCCCTCTCTGAGGAGGATATTGAGCCTCTTTCTCCACTCAGATGCTCTCCAGGGCCATCACTCCCAACATCTCACCCACTACATAGGGAGTGGACATGGAAAAGGGGCTCTCCCAACTCCTCAGCTCTCCATCTCCCTTTCCCAGGCTGCAGAGCTGACCTGGACAGGTGCCAGACTCACTTTCACCAGGATGTTCAGCATGGCACCTGGGTAAGAGATGGTTACTTTTGGCTTCTTGATATTGGTTGACTTGATGACAAAGTTCTCTGGGAAACTGTTGGGAAGGACACACCAAATCCCATCGGTATCCAGTTCTAGAGGTCTCCTAGGGAAGAAAGGAAGGAAGGAAAGAAGGAAGGAAGGCCACTGTCAGGAGCAGAATGGATGAGAGGTGAGGATCAGTTCTGTGTCCCCTACTAGGCAGCAGCCTGTTCCATCCACTGTTCCCTTCTGCAAAGGGAACCTTCAAATACAACAGCAGTGTCAGGAATCTGAATGCTCATAGAATGAGAGAATCACAGATCACTTGATGTTGGAAGGAACCTTAAAACTCATCACATTCCAACAACTCTGTGTCATGGGCAGGGACAACTTTCCCTAGACCAGGTTACTCCAAGCCCTGTCCAACCTTGAAACACTTCCAGTGATCCAGGGGCAGCCACAGCTTCTCCAGGCAACTTGTGCAGAGATTTCTTTCCAATATTCCATCTAACCCTGCCCTCTGCCAGTGGGAAGTCACTCCCTCTTGTTCCACCACTCCTGGCTGTTGCCCAAAATCTGTCTGCATTTTTCTTGGAATCTCTTTAAGCACTTAAAGGGGCTCTAAGGTCTCCCTGGAGCCTTATCTTCTCCAGGATGAAAACCCCTGGCTTTCTCAACCCTTCTTCCTCACAGGAAATGTGTTCCATCTCTCTGAAAACTCAAGTGTTTAACATGCTCCCACATCTGTCCTAGATGCAGATGGACCTTCTTCAGCTCAGCACACACTTACCCAATCTGTTCGATCAGCTCTCTGGCCTGGGTGATGATATTTGCCCCTGTGAAGCAGACAATGCCAGCCATTTCCATGGAGTACCAGCGAGCTCTGTGAGCAGAGGAGTCACAGTTAAAACAATGACATACCCCCTCCAAAACCCAGCTATGGAGGGGCAGGAGGATCTCTAGGGGAAGAAGGGCAAGAAACACAACACTGGGCATTGTTCTCCTATGAAATTCTCTACTTATCATGCTCCAGAAAAGCTGAAAACCCACTTACTGACCAGATTTCCATAATTTAATGTCTGGTAAGAGTCTCCAGGATGAGGAGTAGTGGGTAGAAGCAAGAGAAGTTTTACAGGCAGGACCTACTCTCATCTTGGTGCTTCAGGAAGTGACTACCTCAGCAGGACAATCCTGGTTTCCAAGGGTCCTCCCTAGAGGATCCTGGATGGCTCAGGGGAGACTTACCCTTTCCGCATGACATATCCATAGAAGGAGTTGAGGATGCACTTGTGGGCCAGCTGAAGGGAGTCATAGAGGATCTCCATGTTCTTGCAGCGTTTCACTTCAGAGGCATCTCCGGTCTCCACTGCTGCAGACAGCTTCTTCTTCCACACCTGCATGCCAAGGGCAGAGTCAGGACAATTCCACATATCACTGCTGGTGGCACCCAACTGGTTTCCACTCAGTCCCAGCAGAGCATTGCAGCTCTACAGGAATATCTTTGCCAAAGATCAGCATCATGAGTCAAACATCCCATTTTATTTTGCAGCACAGGAGGGGTTGGCCAGAAGCGCTTTGTCAGTTGTCAGATGAGACTTGCAGCTCCCATCATTGATCTGAATTCAAGCAGCACCAGCTGTGCTGTACCGTATGTGTGCAGGGAAGAACTCAATACACTGCCTGATGGAATCCATCACGCCCAGCTAACAGCTGAACCACCAGTGTAGGAAAAGCCTCTCTGTCAGCCCTGGGAATCATGGCAAAAGAGGCAGCAGGGAGGAACTGCAAAGCAACAGGCTCTTTAATTAACTCTGCCAGACATAGAGCCCCTGAGCCTCCTAGAATAGTTTGGGACAGAAGGCACCTTAAAGCTCATCTCATCCCACTCCCTGCCTTGGGCAGGAACACCTTTTTACTAGACTAGGTTGCTGTAAGTCCTATCTAACCCAACTGGCTTTGGACACTTGGAGGGATGGGCCAGCCACAGCTTCTCTGGTCAACCTGTGCCAGCACCTTATCTCCCTCACAGGGAAGATTTTCTTTCCAATAATCAATACAACCCTGCCCTCTATCAGTGGGAAGCCAAGAGAGTAATCCTTTGAGGTTTTCAGCAAGACACAACCTGTGCCAGCACCTTATCTCTCTCACAGGGAAGATTTTCTTCCCAATAATCAATACAACCCTGCCCTCTATCAGTGGGAAGCCAACAGAGTAATCCTTTGAGGTTTTCAGCAAGGCACAAGAGGTCCCCAGGCTTGGCAAGACAATTTGAGCAGCACCCAAGCTCGGTACCTTGTGCAGCCCCTTGAACTCATATCGGCGGTCCCGGAACGCTCGCACAGTGTCCACGTAGAAAGAGTTTTCTCGTTGGCAGATGGTGGTGACTCGCTCCTCCACCTTGGTGACGTGGATCTTCTTGTATGCCTTGCGGCAGTAATCTGGCCAAGGGAGGAGGCAGAGGGAGGTTGTCAGGGATGGCTGCCCTGCTACAGATGGATGAACAGAGTAGGGATAGAGAGGCAGCTAAGCATAAGGCATGCGTGAGTGGGGGACAGCTCTACTGCAAAGGGAGAGGAAGATCCCAGTAAGGAAAGATGCAGCACCTCTTTATGGAGGTGGAGGGCCAGGGGGAAAACAAACTAATCATATGGCCCAGCTACAAACCCAGGCTCTACCCCCAGCCAGTTGGGTGGTTCTGCTGGACAGCTTCCCTCCAGGTGATAGGATAATGTGATGTTTCTCTTTTATTAACTGGCTTTATTTAGCAGCCTGACAAAAAAATGGAGCCATTCATATTTTAGCTAAAATCCATGGCTCTCCAAGACAAAGGGAAACACTGACAGAAGTATCAGTGCCTGGCTCCTTGTAGGAAGCACGCATGAGTCTGTTGGGATCCTGGAGAAGTTCTGAGACCAGCCTGACCTCATCCCACAGCCCTAGGAGGGGTCACTACTGCTGAATACTACTCATGGTCCACGTTGTAAAACACTGCCAGGATCAAGACCTTGATTTTTTTTACCTGCTAGGCGCTTTTTCTCATATTTGGCTTGTTCTTCCTGGGAAAGCTCATGGAAGGCACGGGGTGGTCCATCAGGGAACAAGGGGGGGAACTTCTCTGACTCCAGCTGCTGCTGGATGCGGTGGTACTCACTGCGGCTGGCAGGCACTGCAGAGGAGGGCAGTGATCAGTGTCTCGGAGGAGAAGCAGGAATTTGGCTCCTTCTCTGTGGGCTGTACTTACTGAACTCTCCTCTCCACTGCCACGTCATCCGGCGCTGACAGTTGGCACCTGGCTTGTTGAAGTCACAGGCAGCACATGTGGCCTCATCCACCATGGCAGAGGGCTGGATGCAGTAACAGACACACAGGTGTTAGAGGGGACAAGTCCCCAAATCACAACTCATGCCAGAACAGGTGCTGAGTGGCAGGAGAGCACAGGTGTGAACATCAGAGATAGTACTCAGTGAGATCCCCTTTCCAGAGCCCTTCAGGAGCACAAGCTCCTCAAAACAACAGCTAGGTTTCTGGGAAGAGTTCTAGCTAAAGCTGCAGCTGAGTCTCTGAAGATCTAGCCATCCAGAGAAGGACAACAGAGCCAGGGAAGGGGGTGAGCACAAGTCTGGTGAGGAGCAGCTGAGGAAGCTGAGGGCTCAGCCTGAAGAAAAGTAGGCTCAGGGAGGACATTCTTGCTCCTACAACTCCCTGACAGGAGGGTGGAGCCAGGTGAGCATCAGGCTCTGTTCCCAGGGAACAAGTGAGGAAACAGCCTTAAGTTGTGCCAGAAGATGTTTAGGTTGGATATTAGGGAAAAATCCTTCACTAAAAGGGTGATCAGACAGTGGCACAGGCTGCTCAGAGTGGCATTCTCCTGAAAGTATTTAAAAGCCATGTGAATGTGCCACTTGGGGACATGGGTTAGTGGTGGCTTTGGCAATGCTGGCAGAGTGGTTGGACTCAATGGTCTTAGAGGGCTTTTCCAACAAAAATAATTCCGTGATTCTACAATTCCATGGCAGCTTGACCAAATTTCATACCCAGCCTCATCTGCTTCCCCCACCCTGAGCAGAAAGTTCAGCCCTTGCTTTTAAGGGGATCCAGAGGGACCATCAAGGTCATCTGGAAATCAGATTAGGAGAGACAAGACTCATGTTACCCACCTGCAACCTGTTGGTCAGAATGATGTTGGGGTACATGGCCCCCACATCCAGATGATAGATAAGAGGACACTCAATTCTGTTGGGAACATCCTTCAGGGAATTCAACTTGGCCTTGATTTCATCACAAACCTGTAGTGAGATAAAGAGAACTGAAACTAGGGCAGGAAGGAGTTAATGAATCAAATACTTTTTTAAATTTGGTTCTTCACAGGCTCACTCTCCACAGGCTCTGGGGATGGATCCAAAGGACCAAAGGAGCAGAGCAGGGTCTCCTCGACACTGCTTTAGGTTTTGATTTCGATGTCCAGGATAAGCTGTTCCATAGGGATACCTGGGAAGTGGGAGCAGCTGCTTCCTAAATATGACTTGATCGAGGACCTTTGCAGTGCAAATGGGTTAATGGAGACAACAGCAAAAGACCAGAGGTCCCCAGTCTAGTGCTGCCCTCCAAGAAACTCCAGACATGGATTTGGAGAGAGGCAACCTGCACTTTTGTAGCTGATAAGAAGTGGGGAACAAGAGGAACAAGAGCATTTGGGATATCTGAGGGGGTCTGCCTTCTCCCTAATTTCCCTCCCAGCTCTCTCAGAGCTTTGCTCCTGGTTGAACCCATGAAGGGAAAAGCAGGAGCTGCATTCTTCAGATAGGGCAGAGACCCTGATCTCCAGGCTGGGCTGCAGGACTCAGCCTGTAAATGGGCTTAAGTCTTTCTTTGTAGAACATAAACCAAACCCAAACAAGCATTTTAGAGCTGCAGTCCCAGTTTCCTGCCCAACTCAGGCGTGCTGCGGGTGCTGTACCTCCTGGAAGTTGGTGACCTGATCCAAGGGAATTCCCTCCTCCTCCTCAATGGCATGCTGCAAGGTCTTCTCCACATGCTGCACCAGGAAGTCGAAGGCAGCAGGATTCTACAGGGACATGGAGATGGCAGTGAGGCTGTAAGCAGCTGTCCCTGGCTGCAGGCCGGCAGCTTCTGCCCCATATCCCTGTCCCTGCTTTGCTTGTGGACCTCTAAGCTGTAAGGGACATGTTGAGGCACTGGGGGAGTTGATGAAGGTAGCAGAAACAGGTAAAAAGCCCTCAGAAAGGGTTCAAAAGCAGCTCAGTTTGAGAGTGGACAGGACCCCAAGTGACAGAGGCCTAACTTCCAAGAAACACTGGCTGAAAAACAAACACAAAACCCTACTTCACTACCATCCCCTGCTGTCAACAAGCTCTGGATTGCTTGCTCGCCCACTGAAGCACAGATGGCCACTTAGAGATCTCCTCCCACCCCATCCCAGCCCAGCTTCAGGTAGCAAGGGTCTCCTGGAGGTTGCCAAGCATTGGAATGGGCTGTTGAGGTCAGTGGCAAAATCTCTATCCCTGAAAGTGCTCAGAAGACATGCAGATGTGGCACTTGGGGACAGTGGTGGCCTTGGCAATGTTGGGTTAACAGTTGGACTTGGCAGCATTAAAAGGCTTTTCCAACCTTACTGATTTCTGTGATTCTAGATGCTCCCCTGGAAGCCCAGCAGGGATACACTGGAGATGCCAACACCAGCGGAAATGCTATCCCTCCCATGAGACCAGGGGCTGGCTGCTGGCCCATTACCATTTTGAAGCGGCAGGGAATGTCACTGCGGAACACCCCTGATTCCAGTGCTTCCACATGGCCTCCCACATAGGTCTCTGAGTCCAGCACATGTCCATCTTCTGTAAGCTTGTTGAATTCCTGCTCCTGCTTGTTGGGGAAGATGATGTTGGCATGATAGGCCTGAACCATCAGCAGTGCCTCGCACAGTGTCCCAGATCCTTTTCTTAACACCTGCACATGAGAAACCAAATCTGGATTCAAATTCAAAAACAGTAGATTTAAATATCAGGAGGAACTGCTTCCCTGTGAGTGTGGTGAGGCACTAGACTGGCACAGGTTTCCCAGAGAACTGTGGCTGCCCCATGCCTGCAAGTCTCCAAGGCCAAGCTGGACAGGGTTTGGAGCAATCTGGCCTAGTGGAAGGTGCCCCTGCCCTTGACAGGAGGATGGATGAGATTATCTTCAAGATCCCTTCCAACCCAAACCAGTCTGTGATTCTGTAGAAGTGCTGTCCCAGCACTGGCAAGACTGGACTGTCACACAAGCTGGACAGCTTCAGGTGGTGACACATCTACAGCACCACTCCATCAAGTGCCTTTGTCAGCTCAACCAGGTGGGAACAGACTGACATCTTCTAAATGCTTGACAGCTTCCTTCATCATCCTCCCTGCAGCTGACAACAGTCAAGTTGAACAAGTTCACTGACAAGTGAACTTGGCTGAGCATGGAGCATCAGCCATACTTTCTAGCTCCAGCCCTGCACTGCCGAATGTCAGGCGTCTTCTTATAGGAACCTGTGTCCAAACACCCTACGGCTGTAGAGAAAGGAGCAGCCTCTAAATCCCCCCTCCCTTCCTCCCTGCCACACATGCAGAGTATCTAAGCAGTGGGAATCAGATCTGAGGCCAGAGCATCCCTGCAGAGTGGGAATCATGGTACTTCACCCAGAAAAGAGATAATTTTGGGAAAGCACTCACCTCATCAGGCTCCATGGGAATGATGGTACACAAGGCAAAAATGAAGGGATGCACGTACTTCATGTACATGTAGTAAGTAGCAACAGCATCAGATACTGAGTAGGTGGCCAGGGTCTGTCAAGGAACAAGAGAAGCAAATGAATCCCAATCCCATGTGAGAGTGGTTCAATGACAATGATCTTTCATTGCTTCCTGCTGGACATTCTCCTATTAGCAAGAAGGAAAAGGCGTATTTCTCCATAGCCTTTGGGAGTCTATGGGTCTCAGGAAGCTGCTACAGGGCTCAGCAGAACCTCCTGCCATGACACCTGGAGCACTAACCCTCTCCTATTCCTCCAGCAGGTCTCAGTTCTTCATGGTGTTTCTGATTTCACTGATGTTTTTCACCCCACTAATGTAAATAAATACAGAGAATGCACAGTGCACTGCCAGGGCCAGAATCACGTCAGGGGAATCCTGTTCCTTCTCCCTGTGAGCTCTAAGGCATGGGAAATCTGGGGAGACGGATTCAGTTAATTTCTCAAAATCCACTCTAACTTATAGACTCAGTCATAGTGCAGCTTGTTTTCCCACAGAGCACAGGGAGAGAATACCTGAGGCTCCTCCATGGCCATCCGGCACATCTCCTCAGGGTCCAGCTCCACTGGATCATAACCCAGCTTTGCTTTAGCTGCTGCTTTCAGGTTGTGACTTCCCACTGGGAGGTAACTGTCTCTCTTCACCCACCTGGACAGAATCAGGAAAATATCAGTTTGTGCAGAGAAACCAGGCCTGACCTTCAAAACAGGGTCAAGATTGTGAAGGGGACCTCGAGTACCATGTCTCTCACCAAGGACAGCCCAGCATCCAAGAAGAGTGGATACAGTTGGACAAGGCTGTCCAGCTTTAGCTAGCCCAACGAGAACAGCCCCCAGTGTCCATCTCCCCACCACTGCTCATAAATTCCACCTTCCAGTTCCCTCAGTGGCTTTAAGATAAAAGTTTCACCGCTGAAGAAGACCCCACCTGCAACAACATCCAGCTTTGCTCCAGAGCCCAGACTCTCCAGGGGGAAAAACCAACATAAAACCCTACAGTTCTGTCTCTGTCATGTGTCCTTTCCTCTTCTCTCTATGTCAGGAGGCTGGTAGGTGAGGCTATAGTCCCTTTCCCTGCTCCAATGGCCTTAACCCACTCCCTCTCCCTTTCTCTCTCCTCCCAACTCAGCAATCAAACACCCAGGGCCACAGGGCAAGAGCAGTCTGGGAACCCTTCAGGGGAAGACTTGGCAGCTCCTTTGGAATGCAGCACACCAAGGGGAAGAAGACAACACAGGAATGCATTATTACACAGCTGAAGAAGGTGACACACAAAGCTTCCCACAGAAGAACATGAGAACAGTATTCAAATACAACCATAGGTATTTTATCTGAACTGAAGAGAAAAAGACACAGCAATGTGTAGAGGGGCCACATTCAGTACCTCAGACAGTCCATGTGGATGCACTGGGATGCTTTGTACTCTCCCTGGCTGTCCTTCTGAAACCCAATTTCCTGATACATATTAATTCCATGAACTGCTGCTCTTGCTTCCACAAAGGGCCTGAGGAAAGAGGCAGCATGAAGAGAAGGAACAGAACAGCCATTTTCCTGCATCTCTAACAACGGTTCCATAATCACTTTGTTACAAACTACCGAAGTATTTTTCCTTGTGATTTATCTGTTTATAGACTTCCAGGCAGGACTTGAAACAACCTGGTCTAGTGGAAGGTGTGCCTGGTCATGGCAGTGAGGTTGGAACAAGACGATTTTTAAAGTCTCTTCCAACCCAAACCATTTTGTGGTTCAAGAGGCAAACCTGCTTGCTTGTATCCTGCATCTGAAGGCAGAGGTCTGTAGTGCCTCTCCTCCTGCTTCCCCAGGCTCATCTGTACACTTCTTCCAATATCCTCCAGGTCTCTTTTGACCCACTTCCTGCTCTCCCATGACTGAATTCATCCATATGCTGGCATTCCCACATTGCCAAGGGTTTAAAAGTAGCTCAGGCAAGTGGATGGGACTCTTCAGAAAGTCCTACTGCCAAGCCAATGACCACAGGATTTGGTGAGGTGCAGGACATGGCTGCCCCATATCTGGCCACATGACGTCCCCACACTGTCTGAGCTATGGAAGGATGTTGAGGATGGAACCTGACCTTGCCCTCTAGCTCAGGTGACACCTTGCCAGTTTAGTCTGGCAAGATCATCCCTGATCTTACCAGTCAAAGAAGTCTCCATTGTATGTGACAATGATGGTGGGTTTGGTCTCCTGGACATGTTCAAACCATCTCCGGATTAAATGAGCCTGAGATGAAACAGAAAAGATGTGTCATCTAAGGAACTTCATCTCCTCTACGAGGAGGTGGTGGATACCACAGTTTGTTCCACACTTCCTCTTTCCTCTGCACCTAGCCCAAAACTGATCTCTCACCCTTATTCCCAAGAAACAAAAGCACAAACAGCCCTGCTGGATTTACTGGGTTCCCCAGGGAGGCAGTCTGCCAGGGAATGAGCCCTCTGGCCAAGAAAAGCTCCAGGCAGGTAAAACTCTGCAGAACAGAACTGACTTACCTCATCTGGTTCGTTAAAGACACAAAACGGACCCTCATACTCTGGCTTGGGAGTAAACTCAAAGTCTTCAATGTTCTCTGAGACAATCTCCCTGTTTGTGATCAGGTAGCCCTGAGGAGGTGACAAGGAGGCAGTTAGGAGGACTGAAGTCACAGACAACTCAAAAATGCTGCCCAAACAATGGGATGCTTTTCTCTTGAAAGCCAGAGCTTCTGTCAAGGGGGAACAACATTCTGGGAGTCATCCATTGAAGTGTCATTGACCATCAGAAAGGAGGCCATGGAGAGACAACACAGAACACCAGTGTTGTCTCTGTCCTGCAGAGAAGCACCAACAACCTGGGCTGGGTTCCATGAAACATCACCCAGACATCAATGCCACTCCCACAGGCACACATCATGCATCTGGCAGCATGGCAAGCCTGGAGACAACAGGATTAGAGGGTAATGCTGGGCTGCTTCCTGGCTTTGCTGCCCAAGCCTGAAGGAAACCATCCTAGTATCCTTACCTGCCCATCAATCATGTAGGAGATCATCATGATCTGGTCTGTGTCTGCATCAGGAAACTTCAAAGGGAGTTTGGTTGTTTCAATATCAAAGGCAAGAACAACAGGATCCTGGGTAGGACCAAATCCATTAGAAAATATTTCAGAGCTGACTGAAAGGGTGTTTCCCATAAAACCCAGTGTTGGTACAGTGAGTGAACCAGAACATCCCTGTTTATAGTTTTAGTGCTTTATCAACCCAAAAATCACTACCCAAGCCCAGTGTTTCCCCTGCCACCATGTTTTACACTAGCAGCACATCAGACATCAGTCTGTTGGGGCAGAACACCTGCACAAGGAACAGCAGCCCAGTGCTCACCGGCCTCTCCACAAGGTCATCTCGGCGGGTGATTTCGGGCGGGTAGGTGCTGCCCCGGTATCGCACGTTGTACCAGTGAGCCTGTGGAGAGATGAGGCTGGGTAGTGCCTTATGGCAGGGCCACATCCCCATATCACTCCATCCAGCTGCTGGGGATGGAACTGTGGCAGTCACAGGCAGCCCAGAAGAAAAGTCTGAACTATTGCCAGGCATTAATCAGGTAGCTTTTCTGCGTGCCATTAAATATGAAGCCCAGGAAACAGAACTGAGCTCTAGACAAGAACTCATTGTCATCAATACTTTTGTAAAGGTTTGAAGAGAAAAAACTTTTCTGTGCTTTAGGACTGTGACTGGGAAAGCAAAGCTCACCACATGGATCTTCAGATCAATGGAAAGGCGAACATGGTAAGGCACATCATACTCCCGCATATCCACGATGTTGTCCATCTGGTTGGCAACTTTTTTTGAGGCTCCTTCCTCATCTGTGCTTAGACTGCCCCCACTCAGAGCACTGCAAGAGCAGAGGGGAGCAGCTGCCTTATCCATGTGTCACACAGAATCACTGGGTTGGAAGAGACCTTTAAGATCATCAAGTCAAACCCAGCCCTAACACTTCAACGAAACCCTGGCACTGAGTGTCACATCCAAACTTTTTTAAAACACATGCAAAGATGGTGACTCCACCACCTCCCTGGGCAGATTATTATAGTACTTTATCACTCTTCCAGTAAAAAACCTTTTCCTAACATCCAACCTAAATTTCCCTTGAGCCTGTGTCCTCTTATTCTGTCAGTTGTTGCCTGGAGAAAGACACCAACCCCACCTGACTACAGCCACCTTTCAGGGAGCTGTAGAGAATGATAAGGTCACCTGAGTCTCCTTTTCTCCAGGCTAAACAGCCCCAGCTCCCTCAGTGGTTCCTCACAGGGTTTGTGTTCCCAGCCCCTCTCCAGCCTCGTTGCCTCCTCTGGACGCACTCCAGCATCTCCACATCCTTCCCAAGCTGAGGGCCCAGCACTGGGCACAGCACTCGAGGTGCAGCCTCAGCAGTGCCCATACAGGGGCAGAATGACCTCCCTGGTTCTGCTGGCCACACCATTCCTGATCCAGGCCAGAGCCCTTGGCCTTCTCGGCCCCCAGGGCACTCTGCTGGCTCACGTTCAGCCGCCTGCCACCAGCACCCCCAGGGCCCTTTGTGCCTGGGCCCTGCCCAGCCACTCTGTCCCCAGCCTGGAACGCTGCAGGGGTTATTGTGGCCAAAATGCAGGACTGGGCACTTGGACTTATTAAACTTCATCTTATTGGACTCTGCCCATCTCTCCAACCATTCCAGGTCTCCTTGCAAAGCCCTCCTACCTTCCAAGAGATGGACACATACTCCCAGCTTAGTGACATCTACAGATTTACTAATGAAAGACTCAATCCCCTCATCCATGTGGTCAATAAAAAGATTGAACAGAGCTGGCCCCAGCTCAGAGCCCTGGGGACACCCCTGGTGCCTGGCTGCCAGCTGGATGCAGCACCCTCAGCACCACTCTCTGGGCCATCCAGCCAGGTCTGAGCCCAGCACAGAGTGCTCCTGTCCCAGCCATGGCTGCAGCTTTTCCAGGAGTGTGCTGTGGCAGACAGTGCCAAAGGCCTTGCTGGAGCCCAAATAGACACATCCACAGACTTTCCTGCATCCACCAGGGGGGTCACCTGGTCATGAAAGGAGACCAGGTTGGCCAAACATGACCCAACCCTCCTAAACCCCTGCTGGCTGGATCTGATACCCTCGGCCATCCTGTAAGTGCTGGGTGATGACACTCAGTCTAAACTGTTCCATTACCTTACCAGGTACCAAGGTTACACTGACTGGCCTAGAACCACCAGGATCCTCCTTCCCACCCCTGTTGTGAATGGGCATCACACTGGGCAGCTTCCAGTCATCTGGAAACTCACCAGTGAGCCAGGACTGCTGCTAAATGATGGGAGAGCAGCTTGGCAAGCTCATCTGCCAGCTTCTCATCACCCTGGGGTGGATCCCCTCTGGGTCCATGGATTTATGAACATCCAAGTGGCTCAGCAGTTCTCTGACAGCCCCCTCCTGGATAACAGGGGGATCATTCTGCTCCCTGGCACCATCTACCAGGCCAGAGGACAGCTGTCCTGAGGACAAGCCATCTTCTCACTAAAGATTGAGGCAAAGAAGGCTTTAAAGACCTTTGCCTTCTCCCCATTGGCAGAGACTAAATTCCCTCCCACATCTAGTAGAGAACCAAGGTTTGTCTTACCCTTCCTTTTGCCATTAATATATTTGTAAAAACATTTTTTATTATCCTTCACAAAAGTTGCCCAATTAAGTTATAACTGAGCTTTGGCCTCTAATTTTTTCCTACATGCCCTAGCAAGCCTCATAAATATTTCCTGAGATACCAGACACTCCTTCCACAGATGATACATGCTCTTTTTATTTCTAAGTTCCTTCAAAACCTCCTTGCCCATCCAGGCTGAATGTTTGCCTTGTCGAGTCATCTTTCAGTGCACAGGGACAGTTGGTTCCTGTGCCCTCAAGATCTCTATTTTGAGGCACACCCACCCCTCCTGGACTCCTCTTGCTTCCCAAGGAACTCTCTGAATAAGTCTCCTAAATAGACCAAAGTCTGCACTCCACAAGTCCACTGTGAAAATTTTATTGATGTTCCTCCTTATTTCACCAAATATTGAGAACTCTGTAATTTCATGATCACTGTGCCCCAAACGGCCTTCAACCACCACATCTCCCACCAGCCCATCTCTTCTTGTAAGCCACAGATCTAGCATAGTCCCTCCCCTGGTGTCAGTCTGCCAAGGACACCCACTGGCACTGGTGACACTGGCAGCAGGAGTCAGGGACAGGAGAGAAATAGAAAATGTTGGATTATTTCTGTCTTGGTCACAATTAGCAGTAAGGTTGCCCATTGCCTCTCTGTACCCTTTCACAGGGAACAGGCAAACTATACAACAGAGATACCACTAAACCCCATCCCATCAGCTCTGGGGCCTCTTAATGTGCAGCACAGAGCTGGAAGAACCACCCCGAAGATGGGTGGTTGAAAGGCATAGCAGGAGTTACATCTAGGCAAGGTAACAACTCTGAAGAGAGTTGGGAAATACTCAAGAGGGTCTAATTATTAAGAGGGTGGTGAGGCACTGGCACAAATTGCCCAGAGCAGCTGTGGCTGCCCCATAGCTGGAAGTGTCCAAGGCCAGGCTGGACAGGGTTTGGAGACATCTGGTCCAGTGGAAGGTGTCCCTGCCCTTGACAGGAGGGTGGATGAGATTATCTTTAAGATCCCTTCCAACCCAAACCAGTCTGTGATTCTGTAGAAGTGCTGTCCCAGCTCAGGCAACCTGGTCTAGAGGAAGGTGTCCCTGCTCATTGCATGGGGGTTGGACTAGACAGCCTTTAGAGGTCCCTTCCAACCCAAATTACTCCATAGTTCTATGAATTATTAACACGAGAGACTGACTGAATCCCCTGGGGGGAGATCCCACCTCGACAGCATGGTTGTGTAGACGTCACTCGCCTGGTCCTGCTCCCTGTTTTTCCTCACGGCAGGAGAGATTTCCTTCCGCACCTTCAACAAGTCCTCCACAGTGTTGAAGGACAGCTTGATGTAGTTCCTCTTCAGGCCTACCAAGTGGTTTGGCTGCAAAGCAGCAAGAGAACAGCAGCTCAGGGATAGGTACCAAGAGAGAAGGGTGGAAGGCCAACAAGACTGATGCAGGTGGAAGGATTGGCCAGAAAGGAGATGCTGATGGGTGGGACAGTAAAGCACTGAGGAGAGATTCTTGTGGGTGTGTCAAGAGCACCACAACAGCAAGGGCCCAGCCAGCCCTGCTGCTTGTGCAGGCACCCACAAGTACCTTCCTCCAACCACTTTAATTCTAGAAATTAATGTCCTGAACACACAGTCAAATAACTGATAGGAGAGGAATGTAATTACTGCTAATAAGCAATTAGCCATAGTAAACACATTTCTGAGATGCCACAGCATCAGGAGATTTAAGTCAAGGACACTGCTTTCACTCCCTGCTCATGCCTTCCTACATCACTAGACTGGTGCAAGGTCCAAAAACAAAAAGCCACAGAGGGATACAGACCAAGTCCAAGTCCTCTTTGGGGACAGTTTCCAGCTTTGCAATCTTTCCTTGGAACTTCTTGGAGAGGAATGAGGACACTTCCCGCTCACAGCCCTGTCAAGAGACTCTGGGGTTGAGTAGTGCATCTCTGTCCTTGGGAGGAGAGCATCCCAAAGCAGGCTGCCCAGGAGGTCCTGAGCTCCCCAAGATGCTGTCTCCTTTCCTGGGGAGCTCAGCCCTGTCCCTCCTCACCTTCTGGGTAGCAATGTAGAAGTATGGCTTGTAGGGTAGGGCCACCTAGGAAGGAGCAGACAGACAATAGTGACAATTTCTCTCCTGGGACACTGTACCCACTTGGTGTCCCTCCCCTCAGGCACCCACCTTGAAGCGGCTCCCATCCTCCTGGATGAAGTAGTAGTCCACTGCGCTCACTGACTGCCGGTCCTCGTCCAGCACCTCCGTCTGCCCATGAGAGCGCCAAGACTCAGCAAGGTCCCTCCATGAGACTACCCCGGGACCCCACCACGGGACTCTTTTCCCCCGGGCTTACCGAAGTCTCCGTGCGGGCCTTCCCTCCCGGTACTGCCAGGGAAACATGGGAGGCCCAGCAGGGACATTGGGTCTTTTCCCCCGAGTACGGCCGGGATCTGTCTGTCGGAATTGCCTCCTTGGCCGTACCATGGGTCTCCCCAGGGGACTCCCTCCCCCGCTCGCTATCTGTGGTCTCTCCGTGGAACACTCCCTCCCCACCCCGGCTGTATCGGGGGTCTCCCCAAAGGGCCCCTGCCCCAGCCCTACCGGCCGTAACTCCGTGGGACTCCCATCCCTGGCACGGCTGGGGTGTCTCTGTGGGAAACCCCTCCCCAGACCCTATCGGGGCTCTCCCCACGGAACACCCCGT